AATCCGGCCCTGTATGTTTGTATAGTGAATGTAGTGTGCTGCAAAGTGTGTGTTTGTGTAGGCATGCAATGTGTGTAAATGTTGTGTAAAATAGGGGGGGCCGCATAATGTGCGGGGGGGGGGAAAGCATTTAGTTTTTTCCATTTATTGTAACAAACTTAATTTTATTCCCCCTCCCTGCTTCTTACCTGTGGCCAGGGAGAGGGAAGATTGCACTCCCTGATGATCCAGTGGCATGGTGCAGGCCGCCGGCTACCTGTACACTGTAGAGGTGGTCCAGCACACTCCAACTTAACTTTCCAGATGATCCTCTCTCTAAATCTCACAAGCCTTGCCTGTGACCTGCAGAGCATTACCATTGCGAGACTTAAAAGATCAGCTGGAAAGTTAAGATGGCGTGTGCAGTGTACAGGCAGCCGGGGGCCCGATAATCGCTATATATATATATATATATAAGTGCAGACAGGGAATGTGGCGCCTGGGACTCCCAGAGCAGTCCAGGCCCCCCAGCAGGGGCGTTTTAGCCGCGAGGCAAACAAGCCGCCCCCAAATGCCCAGGCAAATGCCTAGTTAGCCTCGCGGCTAACTGACCTGCTGGATGCTGGGCGGGCGGCTGGCGAGGGAGCACTTCCCCTGAGCGGTCTGCTCAGCTCCCTCGCGCAACGCAGAGTGAGGCTGGGAGCCGGAAGATGACGTCATATTCCGGTTCCCATCCTCACTCTGCAGTGCGCGAGGGAGCTGAGCAGACCGCTCAGAGGAAGAGCTCCCTCGCCAGCCGCCCGCCCAGCCCAGCAGCCACTGGACCCCAGGGAGAGAGGGAATCCCCCCCCCCCAGCATTCCCAAAGATAAGAAGGTTGGGGGGGTAAATAAAAAAAAAATGTGTTAATGTGAGTGAGTGTGTGTATATGTCTGTGAGTGTGTCTGTTAATGTGTGTGTGTTTTGTTAGTGTGTGTTTGTGCCTGACTGTGTGAGTGTGAGTGTGTGTGTCTGCTAGTGTGTGTCTGCTAGTGAGTGATTGTGTGTCTGCTAGTGAGTGAGTGTGTGTCTGTTAGTGTGTGTCTGACTGTGTGTGTCTGTTAGTGTGTATGTGTGTGTCTGACTGTGTGTCAGTGAGTGTGTGTTTGCCTGTGAGTGTGTGTGTCTGCTAGTGAGTGTGTCTGCTAGTGTGTGTGTGTGTGTGTGTCTGTTAGTGTGAGTGTGTTTGCCTGTGTGTGTGTGTGTGTCAGTGAGTGTGTGTCTGTTAATGTGTGTGTTTGTTAGTGTGTGTGTGTCTGAGTGTGAGTGTGTGTGTATGCTAGTGAGTGAGTGTGTGTCTGTTAGTGTGTGTGTCTGACTGTGTTTGTCTGTTAGTGTGTATGTGTGTGTCAGTGAGTGTGTGTGTGTCTGCTAGTGATTGTGTGTTTGCCTGTGAGTGTGTGTGTCTGCTAGTGAGTGTGTGTGCCTGACTGTGTGTGTGTGTCTGTTAGTGTGAGTGTGTTTGCCTGTGAGTGTGTGTGTCAGTGAGTGTGTGTCTGTTAGTGAGTGTGAGTGTGTCTGTTAGTGTGTGTGTTTCTGTTAGCGAGTGTATGTGTATCTGTCAGTGAATGTGTGTGTGTGTGTATTTAGAAGGCGGGGCGGGGGAAGGGTTGGGGGGGGGCGCCTGAGTTTTGTCCTGCCTAGGGCAGCACAAAACTAGGATACACCACTGCCCCCCAGGACTGCCGGCCCATGACAACCGTCATGATTGTCATGCCCTGTTGGCGTCCCTGCTGGGGCTGGCTAACAGAGTGTTGAGTGTGATTTCTGTCAGCACTCCAATCAGTAACTGCACTGTACATGCTGGGATCTCATTAACCCCAGCATGTACTGGCTGCCTAAGAGTGATAGGAGTGTTATTGCTGGCAGTGTATGTTTAGTTAATGTTAGTTTTGTGCAGAAATTGTGTTGCTTTTTCAAAACTTTAAGTGTACAGAATATCGGCAATGGTTATTAGCAAATCGGCCCAAAAGGTGACCAATAATCTGTATTGGCATTGGCTCTGAATATATATCGGATGATCCCTAGTGTAACATGGACATTTTAGTAATGGTGCACAGAGATTTGCATTTTTGTTATCAAAACAAGAAATCATTTATTAGTGTTGCTTGCACTTGTCATCGTGTCAGGCGAGGTGTTTATGGTATTAATTTTGTTGATGCGTTAACACTCAAATGGTTGCAGCATTATTTAATTGTAAGAAAAACGATTGCAAGTCCTTTTTAGGTCTATGTAAGTGTTGCATTTCCTCTGCTTTTGATAATCTTGTCAAAGTGCCGATAACGCCTCTTCAAAAGGACTGTGATTAATGAAATTTTAAATTTTAACGTAAGGTGTAGAGCATTTCCCCCTCCCCAATCGGATGATATCTCAATGAGCGCATTGTGATAATTTAGACATGGATAACTGCTCAATGACCGCAATGAGTGTATTAATACATATCTAGACTGAAAGCTTGTTTGAGCAGGGCCCTCATCTACCTATTGTTCCTGTGTCAATGTGTAATTGTCTCATTTATTGTAAATTCCCCCCCTTTCATAATATTGTAAAGCGCTGTGGAATTAGTTATATAAATGCCAATAATAATAAAATCAGATATGAGATTGTATTCTACCCCTATGCTTTCAAGAATAAAACATTCTTAAAACTGTAGATCGCTAATGAGTACCAGATTAGTAAGAAAAATACACAATAAATAATCCACCCCAAGGTAGAGCACTCTCAATAGTTCATGAGCAGCCAAGCACCATATACACTGAACAAAATTATAAACGCAACACTTTTGTTTTTGCCCCCATTTTTCATGAGCTGAACTCAAAGATCTAAGACTTTTTCTATGTACACAAAGGGCCTATTTCTCTCAAATATTGTTCACAAATCTGTCTAAATCTGTGTTAGTGAGCACTTCTCCTTTGCGGAGATAATCCATCCACCTCACAGGTGTGGCATGTCAAGATGCTGATTAGACAGCATGATTATTGCACAGGTGTGCCTTAGGCTGGCCACAATTAAAGTCCACTCTAAAATGTGCAGTTTTATCACACATCACAATGCCACAGATGTTGCAAGTTTTGAGGGAGCGTCCAATTGGCATGCTGACTGCAGGAATGTCCACCAGAGCTGTTGCCTATGAATTGAATGTTAATTTCTCTACCATAAGTCGTCTCCAAAGCCGTTTCAGAGAATTTGGCAGTACATCCAAACGGCATCACAACCGCAGACCATGTGTAACCACACCAGCCCAGGACCTCCACATCCAGCATCTTCACCTCCAAGATCGTCTGAGACCAGCCACCTGGATAGCTGCTGCAACAATCAGTTTGCATAACCAAAGGATTTCTGCACAAACTGTCACTCATTGGGGTGTCGACCTGACTGCAGTTCGTCGTTGTAACCGACTTGATGTCATCTGGCACTTTGGAGAGATGTTCTTTTCACGGATGAATCCTGGTTTTCACTGTACAGGGCAGATGGCAGAAAGCGTGTATGGTTTTGTGTGGGTGAGCGGTTTGCTGATGTCAACATTGTGGATGGAGTGGCCCAACGTGGCAGTGGGGTTATGGTATGGGCAGGCGCATGTTATGGACAACGAGCACAGGTGCATTTTATTGATGGCATTTTGAATGCACAGAGATACCACGACGAGATCCTGAGGCCCATTGTTGTGCCATTCATTCACGACCATCACCTCATGTTGCAGCATGAAAATGAACGGCCCCATGTTGCAAGGATCTGTACAAAATTCCTGGAAGCTGAAAACATCCCAGTTCTTGTATGGCCAGCATATTTACCAGACATGTCACCCATTGAGCATGTTTGTGATGCTCTGGATCGGCGTATATGACAGCGTGTTCCAGGTCCTGCCAATATCCAGCAACTTCGCACAGCCATTAAAGAGGAGTGGACCAACATTCCACAGACCACAATCAACAACCTGATCAACTCTATGTGAATGGGGATGTGTTGCACTGCGTGAGGCAAACACTGGCCACATCAGATACTGACTGGTTTTCGAACCCCCTGGATCTCCCAATACAGTAAAACTGCACATTTTAGAGTGGCCTTTTATTGTGGCCCACCAAAGGCACACCTGTGCAATAATCAGCATCTTGATATGCCACACCTGTGAGGTGGATGGATTATCTCGGCAAAGGAGAAGTGCTCACTAACACAGATTTAGACAGATTTGTGAACAATATTTGAGAGAAATAGGCATTTTGTGTACATAGAAAAAGTCTTAGATCCTTGAGTTCAGCTAATGAAAAATAGGGGCAAAAACAAGTGTTGCGTTTATAATTTTGTTCAGTGTATGTAGACTTTATTAGCCTATGTGTTGAACTGCAAAATCTTAGACCAACTGCACAATAAACTAAAAGTAAGGAAGAAGAAAAATAGTGTGCCTAACTAATTCATGATCTTTCTACCTAAGAAAAGAGATTGGTTGCAAAGAGCCATAGTAGGAGTAAGAATTTCTAATCCTCCTCACTTTGCAACTTCAATGGTGATTTTTTTTACACGGATAGATACTTATTCTGATATTCTGCTACAATTTACACCACATTATGTTGCTTTTTTATATTTCGTGATTATGCTGTGTTGGTTTAATTGAGGTGATCAGTATTATATTTTGTTTACCTAGGAAAAGAATGTGAATGGGGGATGGAATGAGAAAGTGTAGAGAGGCCTATATGGGTGAATGCAGGGGGAGTTCTTCAGAATATACATTGTTACATTTTAACAGATTTTTATTTTGATACTTAAAAATGTATCACTGGTTACACTGTTTGTATTTAAAAATCAGAACGTTGGCGGATGGCACTGCGTTGCCAGGGTTACCCGGGCTCCTGGCATACCGGCTACCGCTCGCACACTGGAACTGGAGCTTCCAAGCGGTAGTAGCAGCTGACTGTCGGAAGAGGCGTGTTTAATTCTATGTAAATCGCCTCCTTGTCCTTTTAAATCATCGGGCGCATGCGCAGTGAGCTGAAATCGAGACTTGCACAATTCGCTGAGTGTTTCTGCCCACTCTCATTCTGCTGCTGCTCCTCTCAGCACAGACCGGCTGCCTTCCCTCCCCAGCCGCACAGTAAGAAAGAGAGCCACCACATTGCTGGAAACCCACCTCTGATCCTGTTACAGCCTCACCTTGAAACCACCAGGATCCTTGCTGTGAACCCTCCTCATTCATTCGTTAGCCCCATCTGCTTCTCCTGAGGATGAGTGGGGATCAAGTTCACAACGACTCACAGGTAAGTAAGACAACCCCCCTTTAAACCCTGAGAGTTGACCCCAAACCACATGGCAGAGCAGATCTACAGCAAGCCCCCCTCGACCCCCTCCCTTTATCCCTAAATCGAGATGCCTTAGGAAGCCATATAGTCTGTTATGTACTAATGTTTAACCTGGGGAAAAGGCAAAGACAATCCTATATTCTTAAACCACACATTAAACCTTTTTCCAAGGAAAAATAAACCCTCCCTGCCACACGATCCTCACCTCCCAAGCTTTAAATAAGCCTGTTCCCATTCTAATGTTTAACACACTCGAGAGAAAAAAAATGTATCCAGTTTTATATAACCTGAATCACTCCAACTTCCTTTTTACTGGAACCCCCTCTTCGGTAGATCCTGTATCCTGCTTTTTAAACTTCATTTAGAGAGAAACCTCATCCCCATAACACTGTGTCCCCTATTGTAACCCGACTATTGCAACATAATTCCTAGGAAGGTACAGATACAGTGTAACTACTTGTAAATAGCAAGTCTTAAACATTAAAGGAGCTATTAAAGATTGGGGGTACTTAAGGACACCCTATCACTGGGATAGGGGGGGATACTCCATATACAAGTGCCTTTATTCCTTTACTCCAAATTCCAGTATATAATAATGGTCCTATTATATAGAACAATGAGTGTAAATGTATATTTGATTTTTTTTGGGGGGGTTGATGTTTAAACTCCCCAAACTCTTATCCAGGCACATGCCCCCACCAAACTTCTGTCTACTAGGACCCCTAAGGCTGGCTGCAGCTATAAACAGGGTGTCGTTGCAGCCCCCCTATTTTAATAAAGGCCCCTTTTTTGTAAGATAAGTGTGATTGTATTATTATTTTTTGTCTTCTGTTTCCTTTCTCTAGATTGAGGCGGATTTTCGGGCAAACGGTGAGTGTTTTGGGGTACCCCCTTAACCCAGGGTGGTAGCTGAAGGTCTGGTGTTTAATTTGGGGTGCCTTTTGTTGGTTTTGATGGTGACCAGGGCCCTATTTTTCTCCCCTTTCCTCTCCTCCCCTCCTCCCTCCTCCTCCTCTCTCTCCTTCCTCCTCTAGAAAGGGCAGACATGGCGTCCAGAGACTAAGTCCCGTCTGCTCGCTCACCGGCCCCTTTGTTCACCTCCAGCCCCTTCAATCTCCTTTCTCGTGGGCTACAATCCCCGGCAGACCCCCCATGTGCATTAAGACCGAACTGATCTGCCTCTCCCCGGGGTCTACGGGCTCCTTAGCCCCGGTTTTAGTGCCGCTTTCCCCGCCTGAAAGTCGGCTTTCAGTCGGTGGGGACTTAGTCTCTGCGCCATTTTCTTTTTCTCTCCGTGTGTCTGTGAGTGAGACTGAGTCTCAGGCTGGGCCTGGGCTGCGGGTCTGACATGGCTGCTGATTGAAGCCTGACACCTCTCTTATCATGAAAACACAGCCTGACTCCTTCCCTGAAACTAGACATTTTCAGACATTTTATTAAAAAGTGAATTTGCACACATTGTTTAGGCCATAAAAGCCACAATTGAAGTAGAAACATATTTTTTTTTTTTTTTTTTATTTCTTTCCTAAGTCAGCTGTGTTTTTTTGTTTTGTTTTTTGTTTTTTCAATTCTGATATTGTGACCCTTTTTAAAGATTGTCACTTTGGGATTTATTTAGTAAAACGTTAATGATGGTAAATTTAAAAAATCAAGTGACAAAAATAAATTTTAAACCAAATCTAGGGGGAAAAAGTGCCCATGAGAGAGAGAATATTCACTAACTTCTCCACAGACCCTTTTTTTGCAGTTTTCGTGTATCAGAGTTATTTACTAAAGTGATATTTCATAATTTAAGGTCAAAGTAGCCAAATATAAATAAATAATTATGCCGTGTTTCCAGTTAAATTACGTTGGCCTTAAAATTTAAATTCACTTTGAATTCTCACTTTAGTGAATAATCTGGTGTATCTTACTAATAAAGGTTTTGGTTTGCCACAAATCTTTATACAATGAAATCCACATTTATGTTTCCAGAAGTTTGCACAAGAGCAAATGACGCTGTCAATTTTGGACAATATCAGACATGATTTTATTACACTCTGTGTATGTGATTTAAAATGAACTAAGATCTATGTCATTTCTCAAAATGAGTTTATACCGATTTGTACTTGGGACTCGTTTAAAATGTGTGACATGCCACCACAATAATGTAGAAATTAACTTGTTAAGCTGTTCTTTTGTCTTTCTCTTGGTTTTTCTTTAACTCTTTTGATTAGTAGTGGCCAAAAAGGTACATTTATCAAGACTTTATGGTACAACTCCCTAGATGCTTTGAAAATCTTATCTTGGTAAAGTATCAATGGTGTAGTTTTACATTTGCGCAATAAAAGTCCAACAATAACTACATCTACCCCATCATTAATTCTTTATTTTGTAGCATATAAGTTGCAGAAGGCAAACAGCATTGTAAACAGGGCCACATACTCTCCCAACAGAGTTAATAAAGACACAGTATAAATATTAGGCAGAGGTCTCATGGCACTGTCCCATGGTTATGAGTCGAACCAACTATGAACAGTTTTATACTTACCTGGGTCCCTCAGGCACCCATGGTCCTTCTGGTCTTCTTGATATCGCTAAGGTGAAATCACAGAATACCGAAAGGACCGAGCGACCCAGGTAAGTTTCAAACCATTTAAAGATGGCTTTATTTTTTATTTTATTTTTTTTTGCCGTAAAATGGCACCAGACAATCCCTAGTACCATAACCTCCACTACAGTCGGTTGTATTGGTTATAATGTTTAATTTCCCTTTAAAGTATGTGTTCTGACGTATAGGTCGTGCAATAGTACCATTTAAATATTGCTATATTTTAAAGCAGCTAGGTCATTATTACTATTTTTGTTTGGCTTATTTATTCCCACTAGCCAAAGCAATCATCATTTAAAAAATAAATAAATTTTTCTTTGCCAGGGACAGAAGAACTATTTTTATTAATACATTTCTTTATCAAAATTTGGCTGTATGGTTCTTTGTGGCCTTCGTACTCTGCCTGGTTTTGAAGTTATGCCAAAGTAAAGTTACAGTATTTTACATTTTTGGCCATTCTTCCTGTGGGATATGTCGCGTAGGATAATTGAACTTTAGATTGGGTCTATTGTTTATCTTCACCCATGGACTTTTTATGCCCAGTTATCCTGAGGAAAAGTTGACAATCTGTATCTTCATAAATTCCTCATATAGTCATACTAGTCAACTATGGGGTTTTATTGAGAGTTGATTTAAAGAGCTAATGTTTATTAAGGTTGCTGTGCCACTCGAGGTTTTCTGTTATTTCTGTATTTATTTTACAAAGGTAACATGTAAACTACATGGTGACACCCGGCATGAGAAAGAAAGCAAGGGTCTTCTTGCCTCCAGGGTTTATTTTTTAGCAATGCCATCTTTTTCTCCGCTGACATGCCGGGTGTCATGTTTGTGCAGATCTTCTAATTGCCCTGGATATTTTGATTTTTCAGACCTGTTCTGTCTCCATGAGAAACCCTGTTATGACCACACCACTCTGACAGGGCTGTTTATTAAAGTGAGAATTATCCAGAATCCAAAGTGAATTTCAAATTTAAGGCCAAATAGCTGAATTAGAAAAAATTGGCAATCCTTTCAGTTTGTCTATATTGGTCTAAAATTTGAAAACCTTTTGAATTCCAGAGAATTTTCACTTGAGTGAAGAACCCTGTAAGTCCTCCCGACCTCAGTCCACCAATCAAGTTGGATAGCTGAAGCGACCAATTGATATTTCGATATAGAAATCACGAAATATATTCCATGACTTTAAATAATTCCTACCTTTACAACTGTAAAATTAGAAACCTAAAAATACTGTCAAAATCACTCCTAGCCGACTTTAATAAAGCACCTTATAATGCAAAAAATTATAAAGTAGTTCTTTCACCATAAACTTACCATTTTCCTATTTTCTCTTTCAGAATCTGTTCTTTTTTGTATTTCTGATCTAGTTCTCTTTAAAACATAAGGTAGGGACTACTTTGTCTTGAGTATTTTTCCTACATTTGACAAAAGGGTGGAGCGTAAGGCAAGTTTCACCAATTGTTAGCTTGACAAAGGAAGGGTTCCCCCTCACCTCCCCTATGGAGAAATAAGATGTTTTAAACTCTCCGTTCCTCCTATGCAGCACTGATCTCTCTGTGGCTGGACTCCACTTCGATGGCTGAGATAATCAAATATGATGAACTCAGCTAATCCAATGCTTTACCGTAGGAAAGCTTTGTGAGGCTATTGCGCATGTGCGGCAAAACACCTGGCTGTGCCTTAATCAGAAACTCGAATCAATGCATCTCTATTGGGAACGTTTAGCACCTCCATGCAGAGATGCTAAGTGCCAGTGCTGCATCAGCACTGGACTAGGAAACGCCTCTAGTGGCTGTCTGAGTCACTGCCATCAGAGGTGTTCTTGGGCACCAATTTAAACACAGAGGAAAGGCAGTGTTTTTAAATTAAAAATCCTGGAGGGACAGGCTAGAGACACCAGAACCTGATGATTCTAACAGTGGTGACTCTAGTGTCCCTATAAGCTCCACCCTTTTGTCACAGTTGTTAAGTGTAGGAGAAATACAAGAGCCAGTTGAGCCACTTTGTGACCTCTGGACATTGTATACGGTTTAATGCATTTTCATGACGTACATCTATTTCTAGCATAGAGAGATTGCTTAAAGTTTTTATTTAAAGCGGTTCTGTCCCCACCCGGCTGAGGGGAGGAAGCCTTTGTGGGGTCCTCAATACACGTATATCAATATTGTACTCTCACGCGTGGAAGAGAGAACAGTACTGGCAGGTGAAGCGCTAGGAGCTGAGTAGGATGCAATGGAAGAAGATGACCATGGTGGTGAGGGACAGGTGCAGGAAAGTACAAATCGCCTTTCCCCATGGCCACCACAGTGCAAGTGGCAAAGTCCCCAATGGGGGTCTTTTTAACATATGAAAAGACACCAGAAGGCGACTACATTATTATTAAGATGTCATTTTGTTGGCTTTGAGATACATCGGAAATCACTGCACATATTTGCACCGGAAAACCTTTGTGATACCTGTTGTATATTTTAAACAACGTCACCTTTCTTGACTTTTTGTGTTCACTGTCGTTCTAGTTGCCCCTCTTGTAGAGTCTATGGGGGTTCCAAGTCCTCTTGTGATCATAAGGGTTTGTCTACTCCACTACAGCCCTATTCTGAACAGTGTGTCTGGTGGTTTAATAGATGAGCACCCATAAGGGTGTTTGTTGCATGTAGTGGTTTACAATAAACTTGTATATCCCTGTCCTCTTTCCAGTTTCCTTTGCTTTGATCCATAACTACTGTATGTTTGTTCTAAGTACTAATTCTAGTGATGTGGATAAGACTTTACAAATCTATTTAACTGCTTTTTCTTCAGGAATAAAAAAATAGCTATCTCAAATGATATGATCCGTATTACACTTAATGAGCAGTATTAAAGGAACACTCAAAGTACAATGTGCGGTAGTGATTATAGTACTATGAGTGACCGGGTTTACCCATCGGCCATTGTAAGTTGTCCAACTGTTTTAGAACAGTTTGAGTTTTCACCTGGCATCCACCAGACGTTGCTCCATGCCTCCACTACAGTTACAGGAAATCCGGAACCTCTCAGAGCTAATCTGGCTGTGTAAGGCTTAGCTCATTGGCTGAGTGTGATCACTTGATTATCTTCGCTAATTAGCTAGCACTGCACTTCACTCACAAGAGCCAATGGAACACTTTCCTGTCACTGTTTCCTAGTGGACACCAAGAAAGAATCAAACCGTTCTAAAACAGTTTGACAATTTGAACATATGGGTGCAAGGGCATGGGAAGGACTACAGCACCCTATAGTGGTTATGATTTTTGGAGCTGTCATTGAAGGGTTCTATGTGGTTATTTGAAAGAGATACTTATTAACTGAGTTGGGTTCCAAAACTCGATCATAAGTCTGTATGTAGGGGAGCTAGGTTCAAGACTTCTTACTCAGATGTTAAAGAGAAATTGTTACTTCTCTGGAATTTACACAGTTTAATAAAACATTGAAAATCTATAACTTGTGTTTTCCAAATTCTTTTTTTATTTTGAAATTTAAAAAAAAAATTAAAAATTGTCCCTCTCTCTTTTATTTTTTTATTTTTTTATTTTTTTAAAGAACACTATACTACACTGGCTGTAGTGTCAGAAATACAAAAAATGTCACGTTGAAAAGGTGAATTTTACTCAGATCACATTAAAAAGGCCATTTTACCCGCCTCTTCTCCCACTCCGGTCTTGCGCAGCTGGCTCTGTCCCCATGGCTGAGATTATCAATGGGGAGTGATGATTGGGAGGGTTCAGCGTAGAGACGCTGAACATATAGGAGCACCTCTAGTGGCCTTCTTAGTGACTGCCACGAGAGGTGTTACTATGCAGCATTGTAAACATTACCTTTTTTTTTTTTTTTCTCTGGAAGTCGGTATTTACATTGAAAAGCCTGCAGGCACTGGCTATAGACACCAGAACAACTACATTAAACTATTTACTATTAAAGATTTAGCAATTTACATGATAAACCAGGTCAAACATTGGAAACAAAGTGTGTAAAACAGAAACGTTGTTTCATTTCTCCACTTCTCAGTTTTGTTCTCTATGATTACTGCCAGATGCAAAGGACAAAGCGTATAATAGTGATGTGACCGGAAGCTAAGATGGAGGTGCCGATTCACAGAATAATCTTTTATTTTTAAAAAATATTTCCACACCTCAAGAATACATATTAAATAAAGTGATGACTAATCCTAAATTGAAAAACCCATGGACACCTAATTGCCGTAATTTAGATTGGCGATGGCCATCCTTGTCATACCAGATGCCATTTCTTGTGATGCTCATGCATTCTTCAAATTAGCAGAGGGTCGTGTGAAATGTTGGTTTAAAACAAACATCTAGGTTAAAAAGTTTTGCTCCCTGCTTTTTGTGATTCCTGCGGATGTTGTTGTTGGTATTTATATAGCGCCAACTAATTCCGCAGCACTTTACAATATTTTTAAGGGGAGGGGGGAATTTTACAATAATTGAGACAATGACACAGGAATAATAGGTAGATGAGGGCCCTGCTCAAACGAGCTTGCAGTCTAGAGGAGGTGGGGTACAAAAACACAACAGAGCAGCAAGGGTGACAGCCACCAAACAAGGTGGAAAAGTAGCACAACTGGAGGTGAGTGGAGTGTGGCTCTTTAGGAGAGCAAGAGACCGATATGGATAAGTAAAGCTATGTTACTCTGGGAGTCCATAAGCATTTCTGAACAGATGTGTTTTGATGGACTTCTTAAACAATTTAAGAGAGTCTGTGAGTAGGCAGGCTGTTCTAAAGGAAAGGAGCCGCCTGCGAGAAGTCCTGCAAGCACGAGTTAGCAGTAAGGGTGTGAGCAGCAAACAGGTTGTTCTGTCCCTATTGTCACATGGTCTGTCATTACGTCTCCAGCTGTTTCTAAACCACAGTTCTATGATTCCATGCCATCAGTTTGTACGTAAACTTCAAAAGCAGGGCTGTATAGTGAAAATTCACTGAAAACTATCTCGTCCCGTCTGACTTCTGAATCTTGGTTTGCCCACCTAGACCTTGTTAGTTTGCTTCCCCCTAGTGTCTCCTTCAGTTAATGCAATGTAACTTTTTTGGCTATGCTGTGCTTTCACGATTGTATTTATTTTTTTCTAATTTATTTTATGTTTGAGGTGGGTTTGTGTTAAGTGTGTTTTTTATTTTATTTATTTATTTATTTATTTTGCACATATACAAAACTTCTCTGCAGGGCTCCCTCTCTTCAGAGACACTTAACTTGCAATTCCATTCGATATAGTTTTTAAACCCGTACCATGCATTAGGGTGGACTTGATCACGATTTAAATCACTAGTCCATAAGACTCTATTTGAAATCATGATATTTAAATGTAAAAACTCATTCTTGGTAGTTATAATCTTTAATATTTGCAGTAAGATTACAACTTCATATTTAGAATAATAACCTGTTTGGTAAAACGGATATATCAGAACTTATTTTAGTTTAATACATTAATCACTCATATTAACTTGCAATCCAACCTGCTTATATAATATAGGGTGACTGATGCCTTCAAGTAGCGTCTTTCTGCATCTTGGGCTATTGCCTAAATGTGTCCCTTTGCGTCTTTTTCACTATGCAAAGATTGAGCACGTTTCGTTCCTTTTTAAAAAAAATTATTATTTATTTTTAATTTTCACGGTAATTTTTAACCAATAGGCAAAATCACGTGTGTTAAAATGGACCTGCAAAGTCTTTTCACATAAGTAGAGCCCAGTATGTCAGTTGAAATAAAGCTGCCTTTTGACGCTTGTCTGTTACCTTCCTACAAAAATACTGAGAATCACAAACTTGTAGATTAAAATAAGCTGTTAAAGGAAACCCTTCATCCGTTAAAACTACCATGCCAGACTGTCATGCAAAATAATTCTATACAATGATGATAAAGGTTACAGTATAAAAAATGTGGTTATGGACCAGATTTGTACAAGCTGCAGGACACTTACTATTGTTCTTTGTTAAAAAGATGTGTGTGGTTTTTTGTTTTTAAAACTAGGTAAATTTAATGTGAGGTATGCGGTCTAAGTTTATTTTTAAGGAAACTTTAAAAAAAGAAAAAAAAAATAGCTAAAGGGGGTTGACCTTTTAAGGGGACACATTTTTGTCAAACTACTTTTCCGCTGTCTGCTATGTAGAAATTGTGTCCTCTAGCAATGTACACATGCAACACCCAACAAGCTCCAGTTGATTGCAAAATCACATTAATAAATTAAGTGCACTCGTTGTCTGCAAACTTTCAGGTTGCTAGAGAATAGATTGTGAAGGTGATATCTCCAGTAAATGTATAGATTAAAGGATTATATTTGAAGACTATTTCACGTGTACCTGGCAACTTCCACAGTACTACAGATTAAACTAAGCTTTAGGCCACAGATCCTATAAAGGCCTTAAATTACTCACATTTTTTTTGTCCAGTGATAACTGAGGGGGCAGTGGTGGATGTCACAAAAAAAGCGTTGTCATAGATACCACTGGGGTTTTTTTTTTTGGGTGGGGGGGGAGTTGGTTTATTAACATCTTTGGACAACCATTTATAAATGACTTAATGTGTGTCTTTTATTTGCCAGACTCTCACAAACACAAGAAAGACAAAGAACATCGTCACAAGGAACACAAGAAAGACAAAGACAGAGAAAAAACAAAGCACAATCATAGGTAGTTTTATTTTATTTTTTATATATGTGTGCGTGCAAAACCTACTTATCCAAATTACATTTTAAAATGAATAGTTTTCAGTAGCCGAGGGGGCCCTCTTTGCAAAGTCTGCATTAAGTCCCTCGTCTCTTACAGTGACAAACCTCAATTTGTACCTTTTTTGTGAACGTGGATGGAGTTCATTAATAGAAGTTTCTACTTAGAAGTACATGTTCCACCTGATCTGAGGTGGCTTAGGTTTGGGATTATCTTCCTGACCTAGCTTATTTCTCTACTTCAGAATGTTGTTGTATGTTAGTTAGAAGGTTTAAAAAAAAACTCCAGAGAGCAAAGTGTTGGCTACTTTGAGTACTTGCTCTGGTATTGTTGGTTGAGCCTTTTCTATTTAGTCATGCTATGGTTGTGTTTTAATCATATTTTTGTTTTTAAATGCTGATTGTAAATGCACGAGTTAACACTGATGATGGCATTAATGGTTTACAAACTTATTTATTTCCCACCTGTTTATCTTCATTAGTGAACATCGAGACCCATCTGAAAAAAAACACAAGGATAAACACAAAGATGGGGAGAAACACCGTGAAAAAGACGGGGAAAAACATATAGAGAAACATCGGGAGAAAGATGGTGACAAGCACCGTGACGAGAAACACAGAGAGAAGGATGGCGAGAAACACGGGGACAAACATGTTGAGAAACATCGGGAGAAAGATGGTGAGAAGCACCGTGAGGAAAAACATCGTGAAAAAGATGGAGAAAAACATAAAGACAAGCACAAAGAGAAGGATCGAGAAAAGAGGAGGGAAGAGAAGGTATAGTGAAGCTTCCATTCGATATAGTTTTTAAACCCGTACCATGCGTTAGGGTGGACTTGATCACGATTTAAATCACTAGTCAGTAAGACTCTATTTGAAATCATGATATTTAAATATAAAAACTAATTCTTGGTAGTTATAATCTTTAATATTTGCAGTAAGATTACAACTTCATATTTAGAATAATAACCTGTTAGGTTGGTAAAACGGATATATCAGAACTTATTTTAGTTTAATACATTAATCACTCATATTTGGGAAAACTACCTCACTGTAACTACTTAAATTATTTCATCTATGCTTATTTCTCAATATATTTACTCTGTACAGCCTAAACAGGAATATTGGTTTATTTCAACTCCTTAATTCTTTTTTAGCAACTGTGTATAAAAATGCAGTAACCATAACAAATATAGATTATTGCTCAAGCATGACCATACCTAATGGCAGTCTTTAAAAAAAGATATGGTGAAATAAAAACCATTTACCAACCTGTAGGTCCTGCCTCTTCAAACATCACTTCTTGTGATGTTTCATCTTGGCCACCAGGCCTTGCATTCATTTCCCTTTTTTTTTTTCTTTTTCTTTTTTTTTCTTTTCTTTTTTTTTTTTCTTCACACGTGCTTTATCCAGCGGTAGAGGAACTTCATTAGTTTATTCCCAAACTGGGTCTCTTTTACAGCTTGTTGCCATTTTGCTCCTCAAGAGAGGGAATAAAGAACTTTAAGCTACATGCACAAAGATTCCAAAGTTTTACTGCATGCAGCTCCCTCCTGACACTTAGAGCCTGGTACACATGTATTTCACTCCAAACAATCTTGGAACATAGCCCCTAAGGTATTCATGTTTGTACATAGATTTGCAGAACAACGAAGGGATTAATGTCTTTTTGTGAACTTTTGTTTTATTTTATACAACGTTTTTAATTTGAAAAAGTGCATGTTATATCTGGCTGGATAACTTTCATTTAATTAATTGAATTAATTTACCCCAAAGAAAAATGTTTAAACCATAATTTTTTTTATTTATTTTTTTTATATAAATTCATTGGAAAATTCCACTCCATCCAAAATTAAAGCTACTTTAAAATTTAAAAACTGGCATTTAACCAGGGTCATAGCAGGCCAACCCCACCATAGCAATATGATCCAAGCACTCTTACATGGGGTACATTTGATCTGTACCCCTTCATAAATTGTCTACCAGGTCACACCAAGGTAATAGACCTCATCTGTCATACTGATATATTAACTGAGAAAAAAGAGCATATATTATTAGACTGTTTTGCTTTTCTAACATAGTTTCTGGTTTTTCATTTTGTTCTTATTTTGTTTTTATTTGGATTTTGTTTTGCATACCTCAAAAATGTCATGAAACATGTATATCGATTTTTTTTATTTTTTTTATTTATTTTTTTAATTAGCTTTTACTCTTCCGCATTTCAAATCACTGAAAGTAAATATCTTGCGTGTCACTCTACACTGCATCATAACAATAAGAGTTTTTAAAACTATATCCTCAATTTTAAACCACCCTGCTATATATGGTGATTTCCACTAACATGCAGATACATTTTTTGTTTTTCCCATTTAGATGAAATCTTCAAGTGGCAGTCTTAAAATAAAGAGAGAAAATGGCTTTGCTAGGTAAGAATAAAGGCTTTGATTTGCCTATTAAAACATGTACTTTAAATGACACTCCATCTTTTGGGACTCTAACCAATATGACATACAGTGGCTTTTACTGTTTTACTAGTGGTTTAATCTATCCACCCAGGATGTATGTTGTAGACCTGATCACGTCAGAACAAAGTGTTCCATTCATTATTTTATCTAAATACTATAGTTATGATATTCAATCTTTTAGATAGTGTCTTTAACATAGTGTCATTGTACAGATTGTCTGATTTACTGATTTCTTTCTCAGCCCTCCATGCATTAAGGATGAACCTGCTGATGAAGCATACACCATCTCTACAACAGAGAACGAAAAACCAATTAAGAGATCCAGGGATGATGATGAGTAAGTACAAGATAGACCACAATTTTCTTTGAGAATTTGTTGACTGTAGCCATAGGTCTTAATGGAAACCCATGTTGATACCATTCCTATTATCCTACATAATGACGCTGATTCCTCCAAAGGGGCATCAGAAGGGAAGGGCTCAACCCAAAAGGAATATGACCTGGACTCAAAGCATACTCCTTTTTCGGTTCAGTGCCAAGCCCCCCAGCTTCAGATGCCCCTTTGGAAATGACCACAGGAATGTATAAATTGACGAGATTTTGGATAGCAGTGTCACATTAGTAAACAATTTTATTTGATATAGCACTGATATCACCGCTGTTCTTTAATGTTCCTTTTTTTTTTTTTTTTTTTTCAGTTTAGATTACAAGCCGAAAAAAGTAAAAACTGAAGATGTTAAAAAAGCAAAAAAGCGAAAGCAGGAGGAGGTAAGCTGTGTTTAGGTTATTTTTGATCTTGAGCTTAAATAGACATGCTTACCTGGAGGTTTTTTAAATTTTATTTTAAAGTTGAATGGGAGTAGCTTTGTGCAAGCATATTCATGATATTATAAGCAGACATATTCATGATATTCTACCTCCCCTCCCCCTTCTTGACCCCAGAATGGCAGTCACATCACTTATCTGATCAAGAAGCTGTTACCGCATCCCAAATTAAAAATAAAAATGATATCCCTGAATATTCTGTTTTTGCAAGTATTCATTCAGTTGCTGTTTAAACATCTGTATGGACTCTGATAAAACAACCTCTTCAGGCAGAGAATTCCACATCCTTATTGTTCTTACTGTAAAAAAAACCCCACAACTTTCCTTTACCATAGTTATCTTGCATGAAGCTTTGATTTGGTGTTTTGAAGTGTTTGTTTATTGAACCATACCTCCTAAATATCCAAATATAATTTATTTTTTTAATGTGTGTTTTGTCATCACCGTTAGGATGTCAAGCCCAAGAGCAAGAATAAAAGCAAAGTCACAGGCTCACAAGGGGACGGCAAAAAGCGTAAAATAAAGAAAGAGGAAGAAGAAAAGTGGAAATGGTAATTGTAGCCAAGGGTAGATCTGTTTGGTCATATCCATGTTAGTGGTAAGTGGCTGACCGCTGTTTCTCTTTGTAGGTGGGAGGAAGAGCGCCATTCTGATGGTGTAAAATGGAAGTTCCTAGAACATAAAGGTCCCTTGTTTGCGCCACCATATGAACCTCTCCCAGACAATGTGAAATTCTACTATGATGGTAAGCATGGCCTGCCGCTGCTTATTTGAGACATAAAAGAACTCTCTGGGCACCATAACAACTTAATTGTGTGTTGGGAGTTATGGTAGGTGATTAACGTACTTGTTAACTTACCTGTGTTCTGTTAGGAAATGGTCAAAAATAGACTTGTGCACAAATGGCTTTTTTGAGCTGTGCTGAACGAACCAAACGCCTGTCTGTCTATGCATGAACAAACCGTTTCGTTCATGCCTGCCCAACAAAGTGATTTATTGCAGCTGAATGCAATTTGTGCAGATGTCTTGTCTACACTTCTGTGTTCATTAGTTTTCTATTTCTCCTGCTCCTGTGCAATGTCCTTGTTGTTCCTGGAGTGTAATGACACTTGGTATTTCTTTAATGAAAAGAGAGCGCATCAAATAAAAACATTTTACACACGTTAAATAGGTTTGTGCATTTTTTGTGGTTTATTTTAGAATTTTTTTTTTTTCACTGGTGTAATTGCTAGAGATGTGACACTTTTTTATTTTTCTCTTTTTAACCATAATCTCTGTGAACTTGTGGTTTAACTACAGGTAAACAAGTCAAGCTCAGTCCAAATGCAGAGGAAGTGGCCACATTCTTTGCAAAAATGTTAGACCATGAGTACACTACAAAGGATATCTTCAGGAAGAATTTCTTTAAGGACTGGAAGAAGGTTGGTACTTTGTATGCATCTCCTAGTAATCTCTTTTTTTTATTTTTATTTTATTTATTTAATTTTTTTCCACTGGTTTCTTAAACGTTATTTCTACTACTCTCTGCCCGCATTAGGAAATGACAGCGGACGAGCGGAATCTCATTACCAACCTTAGCAAGTGTGACTTTAATGAACTGAGCCAGTACTTCAAAGCACAGTCTGAAGCCAGGAAGCAAATGACCAAGGAGGAAAAGCTGGTAACTCTTCGCAACGTGCCATCTTGATGTCCACAAATCCGTTCTCTTGTTCCGGCATTGGCTTATTTAAATATTTTTGAAATAAGCAACAGCAAACTTGTTGTGCTGTAAATGATATACATTCATCAGTACTAAAGGGTGTATATATCTGTTCCCAACCTTAACCCCTTAAGGACCAAACTTCTGGAATAAAAGGGAATCATGACATGTCACACATGTCATGTGTCCTTAAGGGGTTAAAGAACCCTGTGCCTTCACCTACCTTTCACCTTTGCCCAGAAGAAGCCCACAACTTTATCGTTGACATGCCTTACTTGAGAGAGATTTTAGAAGCCGGGAGTCAAATTAAAACTTCTAAACATATATTATTAAGGCATTGGTGAGCTCCGGTATAGCAGGGCTCAAAACCTCTTATGTGCTCACTAGAAATTGCCCCCACCGTTCTGTATATTTAGAACGGTTTGATTTCTTATCTGGGGTCTGCCGTGTCCCACTTCCTACTACCAGTACTAATGATAGGGATCTGCAGGATGCTAAGTCATGGTGTCAACTAATTGCTACAATGTTCTCAGCCGTACACTGCCGGGCTTGGCTCATAGGGTTTCTGACTTTATGTGAAGTGGTGGGGTGGGGTGCCTGACCGACCCAAAGTGAGAAGTCAGATTATTCGAAAACAGTCTGACTACTTACAATGAGTGGGGGGTGGGGGAAGGTGTGTGTGTGTGTAATGTTTTTAATTTTGTCTTGAGTAATTCTTGCACTAATGCTTGCCTTTCCTAGAACCAAAGTAGAAAAGCTAACCCTACTGTTTTCACGTTCCTTTACCAGAAAATTAAAGCTGAGAATGAGCGGATACTACAGGAGTACGGCTTCTGTATGATGGACAACCACAAAGAACGCATTGCTAACTTTCGCATTGAACCTCCAGGCCTGTTCAGGGGTAGAGGAGACCATCCTAAGATGGGCAAACTAAAGAGGAGGATAATGCCTGAGCACATTATAATCAACTGCAGCAAGTAAGAGTCCATGTTCCATGACACTACTGTAGTATTGAGGGAAATAATTAACTGTATCCAGACACCTCTCACTTCTGTGAAAGGATTCCAGTGAGAAATGTATATATTGGATTATTATGACCGTCAAATATCTCCATGGACCCATTCTGTTACTTTTTTCTAGGGACTCAAAAGTCCCTCCTGCTCCGTCTGGGCACAAGTGGAAAGAAGTTCGTCATGACAATAAGGTCACGTGGCTGGTGTCTTGGACAGAAAACATCCAAGGATCCATTAAATATATCATGCTCAACCCAAGTTCCCGCATTAAGGTAAGTTAATTGTGTTTAGATGTACTAATGACCACTTTTAATTTGTGTGGTGGATTGTTTTTGTTTTTCTCGTGACCATGCTGTCTTCTGTTTTGGAGAATGGTATTCCTCTTTTGATGTGGACAGTATTGTGTCCAAAGAATCTCTAATGCTTGAAAGTTTATTAAAATTTAAATGGATTCTAGTTCTAAGCCAGTTTTATGTATTTATTTATTTTTTGCCCTCTGTTAACAGGGTGAAAAGGACTGGCAAAAGTATGAAACTGCTCGCCGGCTAAAGAAGTGTGTTGACAAAATCCGGAACACATACAGGGAAGACTGGAAGTCCAAAGAGATGAAGGCCAGACAAAGATCTGTGGCACTTTACTTTATTGATAAGGTAAGGACATTTAATACTGAATCAACCTCTGGGGTAATAGAACACTCTGAAATGTTACCTCTTTTATATTATCCTACTTCTAAACCAGATTATAAACGTGCCCCTACTATTTAACTCATTCATTTGAAGGTGAAGGAAAGCTTTCCTAGTGAGGCTTGTCAGTCTGGTACATAAAAGCATGGCCCTTGGCATTAGACATATTTGCTGCCTGCTCACTTGTGACATTTTATTTCTAGCTTGCTCTGAGAGCTGGCAATGAAAAAGAGGAAGGCGAGACTGCAGACACAGTGGGTTGTTGCTCTTTGCGAGTAGAGCACATAAATCTTCACCCCGAAATGGATGGCCAGGAATACGTGGTGGAGTTCGATTTCCCGGGTAAAGATTCCATTCGTTACTACAACAAAGTGCCTGTGGAAAAGCGGGTAAGTAAATCCCTATTATTGATGGGGATGGGGTGGATGGTAATAACTTATTACGAATAAAGGTTTGGTTGACTATCAGTCAAGTGTAGCATGGGCAAAATTGACCTGATCGTTTAATTTTGGATTTTATATTTTTGTTGTGCATAATGGTGAAAACATACAAGCTCGGGGTGCCCCGACAGCAATCCTCAAGCATATTGTCTTGCATATCAGTAGGATCTTTAGAAAAAAACAGGCACATTCTGATCATTAATTTTTATTTAGGCAGACACGGTTTCTTGATTATTCTTCTTTTGCCATGACCCTTTGATGAGGATCTTCAGTTTTATGACTCATCCAAACTCAAGATCTATTGAGTCTAGTGTGGAGCAGATAGGGCCCCAATACAGTTGTCCTTTACTCTCGTCTGGTTTAGGAATTGCATTCAAGGCACCCGAGTATTTAAAACAAACTTGTGCTCTAGTGTTTCATGCCTAGAAGTCCGCTGCACATTTTTTTTATTTTATTTCTTTTTCTTCCATTTCTAGGTGTTCAAGAATCTGCAGCTCTTCATGGAAAACAAACAGCCTGATGACGACCTGTTTGACAGACTTAATGTATGTCTATTTTATGGTTTTGTTTAATGTAAACATCACATACTCGTACAAAGCTACAAACTTTCCACTTTTCCTCTGATGCCAAATTTATTGACATCCTGTCTGACACCTTTCACCTGCTTTCTTAGTGGGTGAAGAGAAGGGAAAAACTCCACCTTTGTAACTCCACCTTTCTTCAAAGAACACTGACATATCCAGGGCCGTCTTTAATTTAGAGTTCTAAGCCCTGGGCGAGCATTTACTTGGGCCCCCTGACTACGTCTAGATACACACAAATACACTACCTGACACACATGCAGATACACACTGACCACATATAGATACACACAAGAACATACAGATACACACAGACTACATATAGATACACTGGCACACACATAGACACACACACACACAGATACAAACACTGACATACATGCAGATACAAAGGTACACACACTGACTACTTATAGATACACCGACACACACACTGACAGACAGACACACAGATACACAACCTGACACACATGCAGATATACAGATACAAACACTGACACATACAGATACAAATGGACAACATACAGATACAGAGACACATTCTGACAGACGTACTGACACAGACTCACACACAGAAAACCATACTGAAACACACATACACAAAGACATACTGAACCACACAGACACTGATGGACTCTCACACACACAGACATACAGATACACTGACAGACATACTGGCACATAAACACACAGACGGACATACTGAAACACACACACACACACACACACACACACAGACATTGACAGACATATTAACAAACACAGACATACAGAACCACACTGACAGACTCACACATAGACATACTGACAGACATACAGACAGACTGAAACACACATAGACACAGACACTGACAGATATACAGACATTTTGAAACTCACAGACACTGACAGACTCACAGACACAGACATACTGGCAGACTGACACACACTACACAGACACTGACAGACTCACAGACACACTGAGAGACACAGACACTGACAGACTCACAGGCACACAGACAGACATGCTGAAACACACATACACACAGACAAACACACATCCAGACATTTTGACATACACAGACAGCCATACTGAAACACACATACACACTGAACTACACAGACACTGACAGACTCACACACAGACACACTGAGACAGACACATGCTGAAACACACACACACACACACTGACAGACAAACACACATCCAGACATTTTGACATACACAGACAGCCATACTGAAACACACATACACACTGAACTACACAGACACTGACAGACTCACACACAGACATACTGACACACTGACAGACATACACACATACAGACATACTGAACCACACAGACACTGACAGACTCTCTCACACACAGACATACAGATACTGACAGACTTGCACTCATGCAAAATTTGATAACCACCCTCCAGTTTCTTACCTTTTCCTGGAGGGTGGCTTCCCTGGGGTCCGCTGGGGTGGCTGGGAGTTAAGCTCCCGGCCTGGCCCCCTCCGGAACAGCTGGTCCTCCCGCGCGGCTCCTGTTTCTGTGGGAGGAAGTGACGCACGGCTGTCACTTCCTCCCAGTGCTGCCGAAAAGCAAGGGCCCGGTCGCGCTGTTAAAGTGCCACAGGGCCCGACCGGGCCCCTGCTGACACAGGCCCACCGGGTGGCCCTAAGTGCATGGGCCACTCGATGGGCCCCCATAGTTTGCGGGCAGAGGGCAAACAGGGTAGTTACCTCGGGCCCCCCAGCAGGGACAGGGCCCGGGGCAGCTGCCCCGTTTGCCCCGCGTTAAAGACGGCCCTGGACATATCCCATGAGTGAATTCTAAGATTATTTGTCTTGCAGCATCGATCTACAGACATAGGCATGGTGCATATGTCAATTTGTGCACAGTCACCTTATAACCCAGTAAATTTAAAAACCAGCCTTTTGGTTGGTTTAGTGTAAGAAGAGATCCCTTTCGATGATAGTGGCCAATGGGATCCTTCTAAATGTGACCTCTGGATCCATAAGTCTATTGCTTCGTATAGATCCTTTTATTGTTAAAATATCCATCTAGTTTCTCCTTTTCATTACTATTACAAATTGATTCTAAATTCTGTCTGTGTTTAATGATGCTTATTATGTAGGTTTGTTGTTTTGTTTTTTTGTGTGCAGGGGGAGGGGTTTACCAGCTATTAAATAGTTTCCCTTCTCTCTCAGACTTCTATTTTGAACAAACACCTTCAGGATTTGATGGAAGGATTAACAGCAAAGGTGTTCAGAACATACAACGCCTCCATTACCCTGCAACAACAACTTAATGAACTAACAAACGGTAAGTCCATGATCAACTGAAATGTGCTAATGATGGGGCAATTGTCATTAAATTATGGCTGTATGACTGGTCTAAAGGAGCTTTACTCCAGAGAACAAATGGCTAACTCATCAGTTGTCTAGCTATGCTGTGTATCTGCAACTATTGACAGGATATTACTGAAACCCTTATTGGTGGTTGTCCTGCTTCTGAAGGGATCCCTTAAAAGGGATCTGCTATTTTTGTGCTATTTTGTAGTTTTAACAAGTCTACAGTACTATCACCTTATATTTGGATAACAGAAGAATGTTACGAAACGTCATGCTTTCATGCAAAATGTTATAATGGAAGAATGTTTGGTCAACCAAACCAAAGCTCTAGGTCACCAGTTTGAGCAAAGTTCGTGCTAGATTGGCCCACATAGGTAGCTATGGTTTGGGGTGGAGGTAAAGCAATACATTGCTAGAAATTCATTTTAATTCAGATCCTGCTTTGAGAAAACTTGTGATAGTGGGTGTCACTTTAATCTTCTTGTGCAACATGTGGAGATCACAACGAGCAGACAGGTAACAGGATTTTCCAGAGTCTTGCTTTGTAATGCATTTCTTTAACTCCCACCACAGGTTTATACTAATCAGAGAAGAAACATTGTGTACAGAGCAAATATTTTGATCAATCTGTATGTCTCCACAGGTGATGATAATGTCCCTGCCAAAATCTTATCTTACAATCGTGCCAACAGAGCAGTAGCCATCCTGTGTAACCATCAGCGTGCACCCCCCAAAACATTTGAAAAATCTATGATGAACCTACAGACAAAGGTGGGTACCGGTGTAGATCTGGGTGAAGTGTGGGGGGGGAGACAAGGGTTTTTTAATTTACTGGGTTATAAGGTGAATGTGCACAAATTGACATATGCACCATGCCTATCTCTGTAGATCGATGCCAAGAAAGATCAACTGGCTGATGCCCGACGAGAACTAAAGAGTGCCAAAGCAGATGCCAAAGTGAGGAGAGATGAAAAGACTAAAAAGTAAGTTAATGGTGGTTTTCCCTTCTATTTTGTGTTTACTTTTAGATACGGACTAGATTCTTAGATCCCAGTTTTTCAGTTTCTAGCACTTTGGTTAATGCCTGCAGAGAATGAGCCATCTTCCATGGAAAAATGTATTTGTGCTTACTGTTGATACAGTCACGGCTGCCACCAGAAATTTTGGGGCCCTTGACAAAGCACAAAGTCTGGGCCTGCCCACAGGACTCCTACCTAGTCCGCTGCAAAAGATGCAGGACTAAATGTGGTGTGTATAGTGGAAGTGAATTAGTGTGTGTATGTGTATGTATGTATGTATGTATGTGTGTATATATATATATATATATATATATATATATATATATATATATATATGTATATGTATATGTATATGTATATGTGTGTGTGTATATATATATATATATATTACGCACGCAGCCACGGGCCCCCGGCTCTGTGTACATGCAGAGGGGGCCCAGCGGACTGCAAGTGTACTTACAAGCTCTTCCCTCTCTGTAACTCCCGCGAGACCCGCGGCTGTCAGAGCGTTGCCATGGTTACCATGGCAACGCTCCGCGGGGCACGCACACATGCCATGCTCGCCGGAGTTACAGAGAGGGAAGAGCTTGATAGATAGATATATATGGAGAGAGAGATATATATATATATATATATATATATATCTCTCTCTCTCTCTCTCTCTCTCTCTCTCTCTCTCTATTTCTCGATCATCGCTATATATATGTGCAGAGAGGCAATGTGTGGCCCACGACTGCCAGATCAGTCCGGGTTCCCCAGGACCGCCATGCTGGTGACCACCATTATGGTTGTCACCCCCTGATGGCGGCCGTGGATACAGTCACTGATCTTTTTCCCTCCCCTCCTTCATTCTGTCTTAATGTAGGGCACTCGAGAGCAAGAAAAAAGCTGTACAAAGGATAGAAGAGCAGTTGATGAAGCTGGAGGTTCAGGCCACTGACAAAGAAGAGAACAAACAGATAGCCCTTGGAACCTCCAAATTGAACTACTTGGATCCACGAATCTCTGTAGCTTGGTGAGTTTCTCTCAAAATGGGTCCTGTCAAGTTCAATTAAAATATCAATATCCTCTTGTTTTTTGGTCCTGTGAAATAATGGTGGACAACATTTTTTAATTTTTTTTTTAATTTAATTTTAATATTTTAATTCTGTTTGTTTACCCTACCTCAAGCAAAGTCTTATTGTCCCCCTTGTTGAATTATCTCCTGATGATGAGCTTGGATTATTTATAAATCTTTTTTTATTCTCTCTGCTCATACTGACTTATTGTTGTGTGTTGTCCGCAGGTGTAAGAAGTTTGATGTCCCCATTGAAAAGATTTATAACAAAACTCAGAGGGAAAAATTTGCGTGGGCTATTGATATGGCAGAAGAAGACTTTCAATTTTAATGCATGTTTGGGAGAATGAGAATGTGGTGTAAAACCTTAAGATTAATTTTATTTGAAGCCTGGATGTTGCCTCAAAACATGAGTTTTTGTTTTTATTTTTTGTTTTTTAGAACGCTGTGAGCCTTACAACTTATTAACTGTTATATTAATTTTTGTAATTTCTTATGGTGGGAAGGGGATATGCAGCAGATTAAGGGGAGAAAGACGCATATGAAAATGGCAAAGAAGATAACTATTTAAATCCACAGGAGGAATTTGGGGTAAAATTGAAAAATTGTCCCCATTGCTGCCTTTTTAGTATTGTCCTATGGACAAGGACTATATACATATGTACAAAATGGGAAACCGGAAATTGACTGCATTGTTTTTATGTGTTTTGAGACAGGAGGTTTTCACCAGGCAAAAAAAATCACAAAAAAAAATTGTATAGAGATTTAAAAGAGAGAAAAAACCCTGTTTTTAATTTTTTCTTATTTTTTTTTTCATTTTTTTTTTTTTTTGCAATAATGTCTATTTTATTAGAAAAAAAAATAAGTTGTACCCTTCCTCTTTCATCTGGACATATCCCCTTTCCCCAAATTACTTTAAATGTTTTGATTTTTTTTTTTTCTGCAACATTTTGTGTTATTCTGGCAGCTTGAGGGGTTAAGTAATTTAATTCCTTTTACAACCCACTAAACGTGAAGCATAGATTCTGACCAAATCACCATGTTTTGGTTTTCGAGACTTAAACAGGCACATTAATGAAAACAAATGTGAGTTTGCTTTTGAGTTTCAAGAGGTGGGGGAGGAAGTCGAATATTTTATTTAGAAATGTGAATTTTTTTTTTTTTTTCTTATTTTTTTTTTAATATTATTTAATCTTTCTTGTTAGCATAAAGCAGAAACTATTTTAAAATTGTAGGAACATTACATTTGCAGGTCTAAATGTCTTTTTACACCGCCCAAACTTTGATTAAATTGCTTTTCATATCTGGGAGGCTAGATCCTGTAAGTGCAATGGAGACCAAAATAGCGAAAATATTTTACCAAAAAAAAAAAAAGCAAAAAATTAAAAAAACTTTATTTATCTTGAAACCTCAGTGCTCCTACCAGTGGGTTTGTGGGGTTTTTTTTTGTTTTTTTAATCTCACAGAAATTGTTCCTTTTTGAGTTCCAAAAAACCAACTACATTCAGGGAAATTTTTTTGCATTTTAAGAGATTTGGAACTTTTTGGTGAGTTGCAGTGCTACCCCTTTGGGGCCAAAGGAGGCTGTACTGGCTGCAATGGGCTTTAGCACTTTTTAAATACTAGAAAATAAATTTTAATCTGGGATACCATCAATTTTATAAGCGAGCACTACAAAAAAAAATGAAATATTAGATTGCTTTTCTTTTTAATTCATCGCATTTAGTGTATTTAAAAATTGAGTTTGGGGGGAAAAATATTATAAAGAACTTTTAATGTGAATTTTTGCCTAGAATCCTCATTCATCTACTATGTACAAAAATACACTGAGAACACCATAACAGTCTTTTATGTGGACTTGTTTTAATTTCTCTGTTATCTTCTATTTTTACCATGAATCTGCCATTACTGGAGTGTAGGTTATTTAAAATAAAGTCCTACAACTTGCAGTTTGTCTCGCTCTTTTTTTTTAAAATTAATTTTTTTTGGATGTTTTGTTTTTGAAATGTGATATCAATTGCGATTGTGTGTGATTTATTTAAGCATAGAACCACCATCCTTTAACATGAATGACCAAATAAGCCTTAGTTTACTGTCGCAGTTGGAAATGGTGCTGTATTAAACGGAAATATAGCACCAACCGAATACTATGTTCTTGATCTTTTCTAAATAATGTTTTGTCTCCCCTTCCCCCCGAGTAATATGCTTTTTACACAAGCACAAAAAGGTTTGAGAGTTACAGACCAGCTTTGCAAATTTAACACAAAGTAAATACTGAAAGACTTTGTGTGCAGCGTTGGTTTTGTTCACAACAGGCGATTTCACCGAGCTTTGGGTTTTGCTAAATGTTCCTTCCCCCGACGGTTTAAATCTTGTTGAACTGCGTAAGCGTGTGCCCTTATTCAGACTCAATAGACCAGTAAAAGAAGCTCCTGGCTTGGGCTACTTCCTGGAATAAGAAAGGTCAATATAGATGCCATGTGTCTGTTAATTTTTAGGGTGGAATGCATCTTAAGTATTTGATTGTAAAACTGATATTTTTTAATTTTTTTGAGGACAGATTGAGCGTCTATTTTAAAAGGACGCTCTAATCACCAAAATCGCTTAAAGGGATACAATAGTCACCAGAACAACTACAGCTTATTGCATTTGTTCTGGTGAGTAGAATCATTTCATTCAGGCTTTTTGCTGTAGACACTGTCTTTTCAGAGAAAATGCTTTTTACATTACAGCCTAGTGATAACTCCACTGGCCACTCCTCGGATGGCTGTTGGGGGTGCTTCCTTGGGGCCGTGCTGCACAGTGAGCAGCACTGCCATTCATTGTCTCCATCCTCTGCATGCAGACACTGAACTTTCCTCATAGAGTTGCATTGATTCAATGGATCTCTGAGGAGATGCTGATTGGCCAGGGCTATGTTGGACTTGTGCTTGCTCTGCCTCCTTGACAGTCTCAGCCAATCCTAAGGGGAAGCATTGTGATTGGCTCACAGAATCACTTCTGAGGATGTCAGCAGGCAGGTCAGGGGCTGAGCAAGCAGCTACAGACTTGAATAAGAGTAAAATTTTACTATATTTAGGGAGGCAAGAAGGGGCCTGGGGGGCTAGATGGTGGTTTTAACACTATAGGGTCAGGGATACAGGTTTGTGTTCCTGACCATATAGTGTTCCTTTTAAGCTTAAAGTGACTCATCTCTGTTTTATGAAAGGGGTCATTATGAAAGAATCATAGTGATTGCTTTGGAATTTCAGCACAAACCTAAGATGCCATTAGGCAAAATAAGGATTACTTTGTCTTGAGGTCAAGGATGAGGTTTGCAGAATCTGACAAAAGGCAGAGCTCTATCAACTTTTGTCAAATTTAGTCAACAAGCAAGTGATGGCTGTCCGATTTCAGGCAATGTCTCGGTGTTGTATTCTTGCACATGTGTACAGTGACTCTGTTCCTGACAAATGAAGCACCAGGGGCCAAAGTGCAAAGAAGCCTAAAAGTGACAGATGGGCTTTTTCAGTTATTTTGATGTATAGTTTATGCCCATCCAGTCTTTCTGCTCTGTTCTCTGCCGTTTAAGAGGTAAATCACTTTATTATTTCTAAAGCGCCAACAAGTTCCGAAGCGCTGTACAATGGGTAGACGAACAGACAAGCATTTGTAACCAGACAAGTTGGACACGCAGGAACAGAGGGATTGAGGGCCCTGCTCAATGAGCTTACTTGCTAGAGGTAGTGACACAAAAGGTAAGGTAAGGGTAGGGTAGAAAGGTAGGTTGCTAGGATAGTGCAGCTTATGCAGCTTCAGGCACCTTTCCCCTGCGTGTGACTTGCACTGCCTTCCTAAACTGTTTACAAAAGAGTCTAAAGTTTTTAACTTCCAATGCACAGTGTGTTTTTACTTTAGAATTTCTGATCTCCTGCTCTGTTAATAGCCTTCTAGAGCCTGCAACAAGTTTGCTTGAGATCAAAGTTACATTAACAGCAGAAGTTAATAACTTCTAAAGTAAACATACTGTGCTGTAAGATAATGTGAAATTCGAGTTTAAAGAATAAAAAAAGTGTATGTGTGTGTGTGTGTATGTATATATGTATATATATATATATATATATGTGTGTGTGTATATATATATATATATATATATATATAAAATACTGCACTCTGCATATGTTTATAGGGGTGCAGCTGGCACCAATTTATTCAACAAATGTGATTCAGTGCACTCTTCCATTCCCTAAAGAGCGATTTCAAGGCTCACAGAATTGTAATAGCTTTATTTAATAACCCCTCACCTAGGCAAAAAATAGGATTTTAGTTACAATATATGATTATATACTGCATAAGCTTGCTACAGCGTAAATGTACCCTGTTCTTGGCAGGTCCTTCTCTAGCAACCGTGTATGTGTGTGTGTGTGTGTGTGTATGTGTATATGTATATGTGTATATATATATATATATATTGGATTAGTCCTGTAGCCAAGATGCCAAAAATATAGATTTTATTTTTTTTCTTGCTCTCTCTTTCGTCACAGCCAATCGAAGTGTGTCTAGCGCTGTATAAATAGAAACCTGTGACTTTCTTTTAACTCTTAAATGGCAGATAAGTGAGACTATAAGGGCATGATGAATTTTCTGTATGCTCATGTTGTTTTGGTGGTAGCTTTGTTAAACCTGCAGGGGCGGACTGAGCACACGGGCAAATTGGTCATGGGCCCGAGGCTCTGGGGGCCGGCATGTCCTTAAGGCGGCACAAGTAGTGCCAGAGGAGGGGGTGCAAAAATCCGAATCCCCTGCCTCTGGCTCAAGACTCAGATGTTTTAAATTACTGCAGGCTACCTTACTCTTTCTGCAGCCAGAAGCTCGGCAGTGAAGTCAGCCAGCTCCTTCTGATGATGTCCAAGGGAGGGCTTGATTTCACTGCTCTTTGCCCCAGCGGAGGCTCCAGCTCATACACCATTGTGTAGGCTACAGCTCCTGCCTAGGCAGTCTCACCACCAGAGATAAGACTCCCCCCTCACACAATGTTAGCCTTGGGGGGTTACTTTTTAGTTAGTTTTTTTTTTTTTTTTAATAGCTCTTGTGTTCCTGAGCACCCTACCACAGCCGCTGTGTACCCCTCTACATTTCCGGACTTTCCTACACATCCCTTCCACTACAGCCTCTAGCTCCCTACTACAGCTCCTAACTCAATTACAGCACCGGTCACCCTAACACAACCCATTATCAGTGCCCCTCCCGAGGTTAAATTCTGGATCTACCCCTACTCTGTATGCCTGTGTGACACTGTTTGTGTATGTCTTTGCCTGTATGTCTCTGTATGACTTTCTCCATATGTCACTGTATGCCTATGTCTTTGTCTCTCTATGACAGTGTCTGCATGTCTGTGTGTGCCTGTATGACTTTGTCTGTTTGTATGACACGGTACCTGAATGTGTAGATTGTATGACTGTGTGCTTGTATGTCTGTGCCTGTATGACTGTTTGATTATGTGACTGCATATATCTGACTGTGTGCCTGAATAATTATCATTTGTGTTGCTATACAACTATGTCAACATGGCTTGGAAGGAAAAAGACACACAAAGGTCCCTGGTGAACGCACATGCATGCACATGCATGACTGTGGGAAATAAAGACACCCAAAGTTTTAATATCCTTAACTAATATTTGATTTGCCCACATCATTCAGACGCCCCCCACACACGCACCTTTTGGGGGCGTGGGCATGACGTGGGTCAATCAAATGTTGGTTAAGGATATTTTTTTATTATTCAAGATTTTTATTATTGACATATAATAAGCATTAAACATCGCTATAATGGCATACGTAGCAGGTCACATAGCATTGTTGGACAAGTCAGTAAGGTATACAGTTTTGTTGTAGACTACGGACGTACATAGTATGTATTGTAGGTTATGCAGTAGGTATTATCAGCTATGTGGTGCCTTTTCCTTAGTGCAGGTAGCCTGCTGGATGGGGTAGGTATTAGGAGGCAGCCACTCGTCGTGGTTTCAGCGGCTTCTGTGTTGTTGGCGGTGTGTTGGTCAAGTTATATGACTTGGCAAGCCGAGCATGGCGTGGGGAGGGGGTTTGTGGCCAGCAGGGAGACACAGTCTTGGGTTCCCTGTTAGGTAGGCCTGTTCAAGATCCGTTGGGATGGGGGGTGGGGGTTTGTGGCCAGCAGGGAGACACAGTCTTGGGTTCCCTGTTAGGTAGGCCTGTTCAAGATCCGTTGGGGTGGGGGGCAGTTGTCGGGGAGTGGGTGCATTTTGAGGTTGAGGGGTCCGTCAGTAAGTTTCATCCTGTGTGTGTGATTGGCACGGGTGTCTCATCGGGATAGTTGCTTCCCTTTGATGTCTTTGGGTTTTGACCGTTTGGGTGTGGCGTGTCGGAGTGTTGTCTCATAGGGGTGTCTCCTATGTGTCTGGTGTCTGTCCAGGCCAGTTTAGTGCTCCGGTAAGCGTCTCGGTCGGGCAGATACTGCTCCGGGTTTGAGGGTTGGGCGGTGTCTGATATCGTGGTATAGTGGTCTTGGGTATTGGGCAGCTGGACAGTCTTGTTGGGGTGGTTCATCCCATGTCCGGCGTTTGCAGGCCGTGGAGGGTCTTTTGTGAGTGCTGAGTTGTGTAGTCGGTCTAGCAAGTGAGGGGGGTGGTCTCTAGTTAGGTAGGTCGTGTTCTTGGGTCAGCCTGTCGGCGGTGGGTCATGTGTTTTAGTGTGTGTTGTGGGGGGGTGGGGCGGAGGTGTGGGTTAATGGGGTGAGGATATTGCAGGTGGAGGGAGGATGCGGAAGGTCAGAGGGGGGAGGGGTGTCCGGTTCTGGGTCCCCACCCCAGTCCTCCTAGTCACCGGGACGCGGGGTAGCTTCAGCTCCGCGTGATCGTCTTGGTTTGGTTGGGTTGATGGCCAATTTTCCGCATTGTCGTCAGTCGGTTCCGCCAGAGCCGTATCGTCTTCC